TCTTCCAATACATGAAGTGTGAACAGAATAAAAAAAATGAAACATCCTGAATAACATCTACTGTAGTCTTAGCCTGTCCTCTGACCATCTTGAGGACACCCTGAGGATGCTATAAGATTTTACACCTAGGAACATAGGCTTCAAGAGCCTTACTGTCCTTGGTGTCTTAGATGTCTCAGATTGTCCTCAAGACAACCTAAGACAAAAAGGTTTTTTCTGATGTAGCCTCTATCATGCATGCCCTACCATCCCTATCTGTTTTGAATGGATTTTCCATGCTTTTCCCACCCCTCCCACCCTGCCCCACCCTGGGAGGGTTTTTGGTCATTTATTTATCCTCTTTCATCCCCAAACAAATCTCTATAGCCCCAGCATCTCCGGCAAACTCACCCCAGCAGCCTCAGAGAGCTTGACTGCTCAAACACAGTCTGGACTTATGAGCTCACACTGGCTAAATACAGGGTTTGATATAGACTTCTAGCTGACATGGCTGAAATCTCTATGCCACACATGTATTTATTCTTTCAAAACATTATGTGTTCAGATAGAGGTTAATAAAGGCTACAAAATATGCTATTCACTGTCTCCACACATTCATTTGTTCCAAAGATATACCAAAGACACTTCACAAGATACCAGAAAAATCAAAAATGTGCACTCTTATATCCCTTCAAGGAAAGCTGGGGTTATTCCTGTCACTCCAACATAATCTGAACATTATCCTAGCACCCTCCCTTTCTTTTTCTGCCCTCAAGACTGTGTAGAAACACCCCAATTCTGTTACCAAAGACACTTCCTCCTTCTTGCCTTGGAGATTCCCACAATATTGATGGTGGACATGGCATCCTTCTGGCATATTCTCTAGTTCCCAAAATCTCCTCAGATAGCTTGGAATACTTACTATACTATTGTTAGAGTGATATAAAAAAGGTCCCACACAAATTGAATAAGAACTGAATATTTTATTCATGCAACTGTCCTTCTGCCTTCTTAATTGCCCTCTCCAAGATTCTACCTTGGATTGGAGGTATAATCCTTGCTCTAAAATTTTGTAAACATATATTTAAAATAGATATTATAGAGTAGAGTAATTATCAGGTGTTTTTAAACCCCTCTCAGACCTGTGAGCAATGATACTACCTCCAGTTTCCGGGGTGAACACATTTGACAAACTAGGCAATATGGTGATCACCACTGATCACCAGTCTGTTTGAGGTTCATTTCAGACCTCCTGCCTTCCACAATGACCCAATCACAATAGAACTTTTTGAGGACACTTAGAAGTAGTCAGTAGAATGTCTCTGCATTGTCTGATTAATTATATATCCTTGATCTCCTGGAAAGTGGCAATCAGTTTGATTTTTATGTTATCTAAGGTGTCATATTGGTCACCTCAGAGATGTCAGAATTTGAAGAGGAGAACGTTCCAATTTTGTGACATGTTTTTTCTTGAAGATTGGTGAAGAATTGGGCATCCCATGGGGCAAACAAGGTTATTATAGGTAGAAAACCCAAAATTGGCCACTGCAAGTGCATTTAGCATTATTAACTCCTGTATTCTTGCATGGAGGTACCTATATGGCTACTATTTATATGAATATATGTTACAGCTCATGCAAATAGCCTGGGAAATGGGAAATGCAGGGTGCATTTCTGGCTTTTCAGGGGGAGGAGGAAGGGGTGATTATATTATATTAAAGTGCAGTCTATACTATGCTATATGATTGTAAATAGTGACTAGGGCACTTGGTGAGACTGACTGAAAATTTCTACAGGTCTTGAGTAAGAATTGGGGAAGATACAGAAGTTTGCTTTTTGTGATATTGAGTGTCTTGAGTATATCTTTGGAACAAATGAATGTGTAGAGACACTGAATAGCGTGTTTTGTAGCCTTTATTAACCTCTATCTGAATGCGTAATGTTCTGGAAGGATAGATACATGTGTGGCATAGAGATTTGAGTGTGCTTTTTCAGTTTTTTTGCACATAGACATCGAAAGGCCCATTGCATAACCAACAATGCATGCAAGGCTATTATTATTGGCTCATTCTGAAGCTCTAGTAGCATACTAAATTATTGGCTAGTTTTTATGAGGCAGGGATGCATGAGAAGCAGAGAATTAGGTGCACATTTTCGCATTTTTGTGCATAGAAGCACTGCTTAGGCCATAACATTGCCAAAAATGGTTGTATTCCCATGTTCTGGGTGTCTACAGGCAGCTATGAGTTCCCTCAAAATTATTGCATCATTTTTCCCATCAATTTCCACCCAGGGGGAAGCCAAATAAGCCCAAAATGCGCCAGCAATGGCTATTTTGATGGCAGATCTCAATTTAGCAACTTGTGCTAAAAATAAATGCATGCCAAATTAAGGTAACACCTCATATGCGCTGTTTCACAATATTCCACATCCCAGATTCTCCTGATTTTTTATGACATACAGTAACATACTATCACATTGGCCCTGGGCACTTTTTTCACAAAAAATGGCCCCGGTTGAGGCTGCAGAGCAAACAGGTCACATGACCAGTTCTCTGCAGTGCCCCGGGGTCCTGCTTGGCCTATCCTGCCCCCATTCCACCCCCTCCTGCACCTCCCACCACCCACCCACCCCGGAAATGGATGCTTACTAATTTACCCCCTCCTCATCACCCTTGCAGATGCCAGGCACCTGGCAACCCCTCCCTCTTATTAGGGGAGCCTTCCCAAAGTGGAAGGTAGCATATTGCCCTCCAGGGCTTAAATTCATCATTAGGAAACTGCCTTGTATTCTATATTTTTCTAGCTTACATGGCTGAGTAGTGCAAGTTTAAAAAAGTGAAATGATTGTACATTTCAGTAGAGTCTTATAGTGTGTACCACTAAACTTGAACCAATGCTATTAGTAGTTTAATTGTACAATAACAAAGTAAGAACTAAAGAGTCTTATGATGAGTGAGCATAGCTATAAAGAGTGAGGAAGATAATGCCAAATATAGTACAACATGAGTATAATCAGATAATGAACAGCTGCCTATTACAGACAAGCACAAGAAATATGAAAGGTAAATAATTCCATTGTAAGGTTTAAATAATTCAGCCAGAAATATCTGGGCAACATTCTTAAAAATTCATTTATATTTAGGGAATAGCACAGGTAGAGCAACCCATGTGGGTACACCCACAGGTTGTTCTGGGGTATGGGTACAGGTTAGAATTTTTTGACCTGCATCCAACTGTACCCATGGCGCAGGTATCAAGGGTTCAGCCACAAATGCAGCCAAATTTTAAACTCAGCTGGCAGGTGATCATGGGATGTAACCATTTGAACTCTGTCCTTGTTCTCTCTTTTCCACCTCACTAGCCACACCAGCAATTGCTGCTGCTGCCACCTCAATGTATCACATACACAAGATTGCCTAATCACAACTGATGAGAACCCAGGGAAGAAGTGCATAAAGGCAGACCTAGTGAGGGGAAACCCACAAGGTATGTCATGACTATTGCAAGTAAAGCCTCTCACTCACCATCCCCCTGCAGATACTCCTGCACCTCACCCTTGCTCATATCAGACTTCTTTTGCCAGCACCACATTGCACTCCCTGCATCTGCAATAGCCAACTATCACCTTGCCCAAGCTTGTATGCCATGGCCCCAAGCTCAATGTTGCTGCCCTCAAGAGCCACCGTCCAACACCCTGCCATTTCACAAGCCCAACTACTATTCAGGTTGTCCATGTCAAGCCACAGACAGCAAATTCATCCTCCCACAACATTCCTGACATGCTGATGCATACAACCCATCCTGGCACAACACCATGGTTGGTGAGCACCTGCTATGGTACAACGGCTCATTAAGTACATACTAGCTAGTCACTACTAATACATGAAGTCTCAAACACAAACTTCTACCAGTGTGAACGGATCAACTGGACTGATTAGGAAAGATCACAGGAACTTGGTGACATGGCCTTGTGACGAGTCATCTAAGACTCAAGGATGGTTGCGAGACTTTGAGAAGAAGGAAAGAGACTTGTAGAATACCTTAGAATCATCTAGTAAGTTCAGATACTTGTAGTATATAAAGACCTCAAGCGAAGATGTGAGAATACACCTTTTTGACCCCATAATTCAACTCTTTGAAACCTAAGTCTTTAACCCAGGTATTGATTATGAATCAAGCCAGTTCTAAGGTAATTAAGTCATCCCAGCAAGGTCCGACTTATCCGTCTTACAGTATTACAGGAGCCCTGTACTACTATCGAGCGTCAGAGAGATGTTTGGAGACAATGCTTATCAAGTAAGATTGAGTGATAAGATAAGATAACACGGTCATCTCTCAAGTTCGAACCATTACATTCATCTCTTGCGTCTACAACTACTAACTACATTTTTGACTGAACCCTAACAGCACCTGCTGTATCATGAATCCACCACATCTTGAGTGCCTCACCCTTGCAGATGTTCATCACAGCATAATTTGACATTCTGTGATGCTTCTGCAAGGCGACCTGCATGACAACCTGCATAGGTTTTTGTACCTGTAGACCCCACCAAAACCCATGCCATTCCCTATCTATATTTCCTGTGGTATTATTTGAATCTTTGGCCCATAATTTCCTACATAATTTTATCATGATTCAGGCAGAAATATTTTGCTGTGCACCCTGTGCTATACATGGCATGGCCCTTTTCTCTGATGTAGAACAACAGCCCAGTTCCCCCTTGCTGTTTGCAGTGAATATGGCTGACCTACAATGCAGACCAATTGTCCTGAGGTGCTATAGTCACAACTGAAAACCGAGCAAATCCACCCACTGTTCAAAAAGTCTGGAATGGCAATTGCAGTGCCTCGAGGGTTGGAGTTGAACCGGATGGGGGCTGGACGAGAATGGACCGGAAGTCTCCGAGGACATGTGATTAGGGGCGGGATGAAGATTAAGCAATATAAAGCGGGGAAGCGAATCCGGCGACAACAGAACGTCTATGCCAACTCCTCGTCCGACACTCCTTTCACTACGCCATGTCTGCAGGATTTCGCATAACACCTGCGCTATGGGATAAAATCCACCACTTCGCCTCCTTTCCTCAAACGGGTGGTCAGTACGATCCCTCTCCTTTCCCGAGCTCGAGCGTTCACACCGTTTGTCAGTCTCCCTGCAGCAGATGGTTTTGTTCGGTCAAAATCCTAGCCAGGGGACCTTGTTGAAAGCCAGCCAATTTCTGTCCGGTATGCCCACGTCATCCCGGTTGCGAACAGACTCTCAACCTCTCCGTCTTTGCTCCAGAGGAACTACCCGTCCGCCTCGCCCATCGCGTCAAGGAACTCGATGAACTACCACACAATCTCAGTGCGATGCCGTCCATCAAGAAGGTCAAGAACTGGTATGCCCAATCCTTCGAGGTTCGTCGTACACGCCTCTTCGTGAAACTTGACCTTCCATTTCCGTTCTCTAACTCCGTCCTTTCTCTTTCTCCGCACATAGGAGCTTATCACATTCCCTCCGCCCGCGTTATCAACCACTATTCGACAGGCCCTCATAGTTAATCGACCGGACGAGATCGCCCTTCCTGAATCCAAACCTAACCCTTCCCTTAGCCATTTCACCGATCCCTATTCCAGCACGCAGCATACTCAAGGCCACAGTCACGGACATGGACATGGCCATGGCCACGGGCACGGGCACGGAAATGGAAACGGAAATGGATTCAACAAGGTGAAATTGAGGGTTCCTATGGAACGGAGGTGCGTCTTATTTCTGCTCGTGTGATTTCTTCCTCTCATTCGGTTGCAGGTACTACGCCAATACGAACAACATTACGTGGCCACCGGAAGTCCAGGACTACAACAAACGATTCACGAAGCTCTTAGAACACATCAAGAGCCGACACGACCCGACCGTGACGACCGTGGCCCAGGGTGTGCTGGAGTGGAAGAGGAGCCAGAACGCGAAGCACATTGGACTGGATATGCAGGCCTGGCTAGATCGATTCTACCTCTCTCGTATAGGCATCCGGTTCCTCATCGGCCAACGTGCGTTCATCCCCCCTAACACCTCCCCGCAAGCGCTGACCCGTCCGTGTTCAGACGTTGCTCTGAATACCCAGCAGGCCCATGAGGACTACGTCGGAATTATCTGCACGAAAGCCGTTCGTGTTTCCATCTCATGAGACTCCATTTCCTTACGGTTACTCTGCAGAATGTCCATGATATTGTTCAAGAGGCGATCGAAAACGCGAGATTCGTGTGCGAGGAGCACTACGCGATGTTCAAAGGCCCGCCCGTGCAGCTTATCTGTCCCAAAGACCTTACATTCGCCTACGTCCCCGGCCATCTCTCACACATCTGCTTCGAGCTTCTCAAGAACTCGCTCCGTGCGGTAGTAGAACGATACGGCGTCGACAACGAGGACAACTTCCCGCCGATCAAAGTTGTTGTCGTCGAAGGCAAGGAAGATATCACCATTAAGATCTCGGACGAGGGTGGAGGCATTCCGCGCAGCGCCATTCCGCTCATTTGGACGTACATGTACACGACGATGGAGAGCCAGGGCATCGACAACAACTTCCAGGCGAGCGACTTCAAAGCCCCGATGGCTGGATTTGGCTACGGTCTTCCATTATCACGGCTGGTGCGTTCTGGGTCTACTCATCCCGTCATGTTCCGTCTACTGATCCACTGCGCTCGCTCTTTACATAGTATGCCAGATACTTCGGAGGAGACTTGCGTCTGATATCGATGGACGGGTTCGGAACGGACGTTTACATTCACCTGAATCGCTTATCCAGTAGCCGGGAACCTTTGCCTTGAGAATAATAGCATGTAATTCCGCTGGACTTGTACCTACTCACTTTTTCTGCCCTTTTGTACATAAATTAACACCAACCGAAAGCAATCTCTTCATGTATTACTACTTGCAATCCAATCTAATGGGATGTCTTGTGCCGATCTCCGTACATGCCTTTCAATTTGCAGAATTCTTAAAGACTCTATTTTACCTAATCCATCCCGTCGCCATTGGCTTAACCATACAGTCGGCGATGCCGATTAAAGCCGACCTAAGGGAGTCATGCAAATTGAGGGGGCAGTTACTCTGCTTTGTGTTCCCTATCGCCTATCACATTGCACTGTACACAAACAACTGGGGTATCATCTAACTGTGTATGTGGAATCTGCTGCCAACTCAGGCGATCCATTGGCGCTTAGTCGAGCTCGTCGAACTCCGCGTAATCGCGTGCGGAGAGGTCCTCATCGGCATCGTAGTACGAGCGCTCGTAGATGGGATATTCACGTGCCATGAGCTCTTGGGCATCATCGTAGTCACGCTCAACGAGGTCAAGGTCGAGGTCAAGGTCGCGTGCCTCGAGGATATCACCTTCCTCACGCCTCAGGACACTGATCAGCGAATCCAATCGTGAGCAAAATGTAGCAGGGCCATGTTAAAATGGGCACTCACGCTCCGATGACCTTCTTTCCAATGTTCTTGATTCCGTGCCAGAGCTTCTTGAAGAAATTGCGGCGTTCAAGCTCTGACATATCGGCGAGGGCGGCGTCGGAGGGGAGCCTCGTGAACAGCTCCTCCAGCTCACGTGTATAGACGGCCGCCTCGGACTCCGTCAATTCACGACGAAAGAAGTCAATGTCGGAGACATCGCGGCTGACGAGGCATAGCAATCGATTAGCGCTCATGAAGATCCGTCACTAGAAGCGCGACTCACGTCTCGAGATCGTCCCAGTTGATGGAGGCGAACGCGGGGGCGGCAACGAGGGCGACGATGGCGATGGAAGCGGCGAATTTAACCATAATGATTTAAAGGTGTTGGTTCGATGGTTTAAAATCGGTGAGGGCGGCGGATAACGCGATCAACACGAGTCTGCGTGAAGAGGGAGATGAGACCAGCTCAGTTGGGGAACAAGATTGCAGGCAGGTGGGTTTTTATAGGGTGCTCATGTGCGATAAACAAGGGATGCATCGCTTCCAGCGCTGTGCCGAGCTGCCAAGGTCGGCATTACAGCAATATTTAGGCAGGGTCATACATAGATGGGTGATGCGGGTGGGCGTTTGATGTTGGGAGATCCACAAGATCGTCATGATTGACAGGGTAAAAACATGAACAGCGGAGCAGCCAGAGGTGCCCTTAAGCATACAGTAGTCGAAGAATTAGAGGCAAGAAGAGGACTAGCAGGCTATCGACGGTGGAGGGCAAGATTGGGTTCTCGGCAAAGGTTGGGAATGATGTGTGTCTTGTGGACCTGTCTCAAACACGTCATAACCCCCTTAGTGAAACAACATGTCCCATAATAAACCTCTATCGCGTCAAATTGTGCTTCTTGGTGCACCGCCCACTCCTGCCGTCCTCTGCCGCGACACAATCCTCCGAGAGCCGGGATTATTTTTGGGAAAACATCTAACGGCTTGGATCTCACTTCGTGTTTCGGGATAGGGCAAGGTGCGGTGGGCCCCCGGCGCTCGGAAAGTCGTTGTCGGAAAATGACACTGGCACCAGTCGAACAGAGTTTCCTTGAGCCCACCATGTCGATTTTCAGACAGTGGGCGGCCGCCTCCAAGCAGCAGACTTGTGAACGGACTGAATGATCTTCGACCGGCCCTGCCCGAGTGCGCCACCGAGAATCATAAATGAACCATCTCGATGCAGAAAACGCACAGGAATTGATCAATGCTGTGACAATGATTTCCCCTGGCCTATTCGCCTTCGTCGCCATGTTTAGTGTTGGCCAGCCGCTGTCAAGAGAGGAATTTTCACCTCCATTTCTCGAAAGGCGAAGGCCAGACCACCAGGAGACTCGCTGTGGGGTATAAACAGGTCAACTATGTACTTTAGCAACGATACGTTGACGCCCATGCCCACGAAAGCGCCACCATTAAGACGGTCCAGCCCACAATTCGCGGGCCCTTGTCTTATTCAGCCATCGAAAAAGCGGGACCCGCAGGTCTCATCAAAATTCTGCAATCAAGATGCGTGTTTTGGCAGTCTGCGATGAACAGAATAGCTCAACATTTCCTTGAACGCGACAGGACCACATGCCAGCGTACACAATAAGGATGTTCAGACTTCCTCGTCATCCTCATCTCCCGAGACTTCAGCATTTTCTTGCCCAACCTTAGCCATAAGTTGCGCGAGGTCTTGTTCGTCAGTCTCCGAGACGGCTTTAGGCTGCGTGAAAGATGAGATCGAATAAGTAGTGAAATCTGGATAGTTGAAAACTGGAAACAAACCTTCATCTTGACCACCAGACTTCCACCGTGCTTCTCAATCGTCGACTGGATGGTCTCAATGGCACGTTCTAGACGATCGACGGCAGCATGCTGACGAGATCGTAACTCCTGTCAGTATTCCATCCATGTCAATAAATCGGGTTGATAACAGACCTTATCTGTAGCATTTGTGCTCAGAACGTACAGCGGAGGCGCAACGAGCTTCGCCTTGATCGGTACCGCTTCATTGCTCTGCTTCTCCCCAGCCCGAAGGGCCTTCTTGATTGCGTCGATGCCAGCAGGCGTATAACACGTCAGCTCGATATCTGCACGGAGTTTGATAGGTTGTGGTGTGAGGCGCCGCGCGATCGTACTCGTGAGCACAGAGAGTGTAGATGGAGATATGGGCGTTGATAGCGAGGCAAAGACGACGTCAGGTTCTCTGCACGCAAAGACGTCGGTGAGTGAATGGGAGGATTCACGAAATAAAATATACGCACGTAAGGGCAAGCTTGAACGCATCGTACGGATGGCCATACTTCTTCCCCAGCGGCCAAGCAATCTGGTCATACAGCTGTTCAAGCTTCTCTTCCTCGTTCCCTCCTCCAGGGATCTCATGCTCGACCTCGATGCCCTCCTCCGCAGCCGCCTGACGTGCCTTCCTCGCCGCCCTTTTGTTCTCTTTTTCCGCAGGCCCTGGCGCAGCAGCAGCTTCCTTCTCCGCGCCGTCCCCAGTTACCGATACGATCTTCGAGGCGACATGCCTCAGGATAGACGCGACGGTCTTCGACTTCATGTACCGCTCCTCACATTTCACAATATCCTCTGGTGAGACACGACGTTTTGAGAGATCGATGTAGCCTGATCATAACCTAGTGAGCAAACCCTGGATGATCGCGTAGATATGGACATGGAACGGACCTTTTTCTTTGTCGACTCGCAGAACGACGACGACCTCGTTCCTTCCCACACGAATGAGCTTCTGCACTGAACGTATCCGACGACGAGACAGCTCCGATAGCAGGATCATTCCTTCTGTGTTATCATACTCCAGCTAGTTTTCGAGAACAAGAGTGGGTCAATGCGAGTTTTGAAAGAAACGAGAAATCGCCCACCAGCTTGACGTAGGCACCCATCTCCGCGATCTGGCGCACCTGCACCATGACAAGCTCATCGACTTCCGGGTATTTCTGTTCATAATAACGCATGGCTGACTGGAGTGCAGATGATGGTGAACAAGAGATTACCTTGATCTTGATTCAAATAGAAAACCCTAACCCTACAATTTACTACTAATGCCAAAAACACGGACCGCTGTTCCGTCTACTATCCTTCTTGTTCTGACTCTTGTCCTGGTCCATCTTCCCGTCCCCTTCTGCAAATCACATCTGCGTTGATTTCACTAGTCTCGTTGACATGGGTTACTAAAATTTCCGCAAAGTTGGGTTGACTGCAGAATTCAATCCCCTTCAGCCGCGTCCACCATCACAGGTTTTCGCAGATAGGCAGACCAAGAATGTCGCCCAGCCTCAAGGCCCTGAGCTTGCAGACCCGATGTTCCTCACGGAGGCCTCGAACGTATACCCGCGTTTCACCACCGACGCCGTCCAGCCTCGCATTTCTACCTCAATGACCACCAAATAATTGCCGGTCACTCTCAATCTTCGGGTTCAGTCTTAGTCCAACCTGACCATCTGTCCCCAGTCTTGAGCTCAAGTTCCCCAGCAATTGTGCATGAATATCGCCCTGCCAAGTCAACTAGTCACCGCTCAAAAAACTAGCACGAGGGTGTCTTCTCCCAGATACGTTCATGAGAGAAATTCGAAGGCCAACTTACGATCTGACTATGTTCTCCGAGACATCCTCTTCTCCCTCCCCGTCCTGACTCCGCCATCGGAAGAACGCGGTGCTCCTCTCCAGACTCCCATATCACACACGGGATTCGTCGACGTCTTTTTGAGACAAGCCTCCCCCCGCGTCTGAGTATCCTTCACAGCATTCGACGCTTCTCAACCCTTCCACTGGAATCCGACTAGAATATTTCCGTTCCGCACGGAAACAACCTATTTTTTTTCACAGAAGCCTTTCAGCGCCACTAGAGCTGCTACCCGAGACTGGCCCCAGGTAATTCCAACGGTATTCCAAGTCCTAAATATACTGAAGATCACAACGACATCCCGAGCCTCGGGGAAGACGGTAAGTCATGTCCCGAGACTACATCCATATGAGAAGTCTGACCACTGGATTGAAAAGCTCGAGGTCATCTTTATGCTAGTGGGTGTCAGCAGACAGGCACATTATCTCTCGCTAGGAATTTTGGATGACGGGATCCTGGCCAACACCAGGTGCAACGCTCGGACTAGGGATTCCAATCCGCTTTCGTGCAGTACATTCGTCTCTGCGCTGGTTGGTCCCCACATCTCCCCACCTCTCAAGCTTTAGGCAAATTTCAGCACTTCATACTACGTACGTACTAAGTACTATTAGATCTACTATTTTGAATCACAAAGCCCACACGACCAAGAGAGGATATCGATGAGATGAGATGAGAGCCTCTGACGAGGGAAGAGGGGAAACATTATACAACAGCAAAAGCATACCATAAAGCTCAAATACAATCTGTCAACGTTTCGCCCCACTAGAATCAGGATTCGAAGAGAAAATTTGCAGACAAGACCGTTGAAGAAGGGGGTAAATAAATATAAGTGATACGGTATCGGGTTCCAAGCGTGCACAAAAAGAATCGAATGGATGAAGAGGGGCGGGGGTGGGGGAGAGGTATGGTTATGACTCCATAGAATCCTGAGAATAAATCAACGGCGGTCTAGATTCGTCCGTCTTCGTGATCTCGTTGTATATCAGCACTGTAAACGCGCAAGGGCAGGTGTGTTGGCAGAAGAGAAAGGGGGAAAGAAGGAAGTTACGTCATTCCAAGCCTCCACGAATAGCACACAGTCGAACGCACCTTTTAGTTGTTCCTTCGACAACGGCTCTCCGAGGTCAAAGTCGAAGAAGGCCGGGTCGAGGGGCTCTGCGGTGGGCTCGTCTTCCACGTCGTGGTACGGCTACAAGTCATTCACCGTCGACAGTGCAACAACAACAAAAGAAGATATAAACGAAAAAGAAAGAAGGACGGACAAAGCGGAAAGACAGACCTCGAGATACGGATGCTTCAGCGCCTCGGACACGTCCAGGCGCTTCTTCGGGCTGAACGCTAGGCACTTTTCCATCAGGTCGATTGCCTGTGTGTACAAAGACAAAGGAGGGCCATTCGTCAGTTTCAGTTCCCATTCAACGTTCATGCACCATCAACGCAGAGAGCAAGGCCAGGCTCCATAGGGCAAAGAACCACATAAACATCGTGATGTAGCACGTACCAGGGGGTTTGCGCCGGGGAACATGGTCAAGAAGTTCTTTTTCCGGCGGAAGGGGAGGGCGCGGATGTACTCGCGCGAGCGCTGCGAGTTGATGGCGTAGAAGTCGTCTATCGAGGGTGTGCCCAGGGTCTCGAGGATCAGGGAGAGCTGGTGGTGGTCTGTATAGATTCCGTGAGGGGAAGGGAGGGGGACCGTCGAAGTCATATTCAGTCAGTGAAAGATGATAGAGAGAACTGGGCGCACAATCTCTCCCAGGGAAAAGCGGTCTCCCGCTCAACATCTCCGCCAACACGCATCCGACGCTCCAAACATCGATCGCACGCGTATACTCTTTGAAGGTTAGCATGACCTCCGGGGCGCGGTACCACCTGAAAACCAACAAGGACGAAACAAATAAGCATTCGTTGCAAGCATCACTATCCCCACTGCTGCTGAGGCTGAAATAGCCCCCCCTCGCCCGCTCCGATGGCATAGGGACCCGCAACGGTGAATCTAGCCGGAGTCAAATTCTCTCTCAACTCTGCCTCCGGCACATATCCAAGGAACGTAAGACCGCCAGAACGGTGCAAGTTGTAGCACAAGCCCGTCTTCGAAAAAGCAAAGGAGTGGAGGATTAAGATTTCAGAGCAGCCTGCCCGTCTCTGGCCTGCCAATCCTCGCCGGACATTGTCGTCCTGTGCCATTGTCGGGAGCGGGCTATGGCTGCAACACATCTATCCAGGAGTAGGGGCGTACGGCCAAAAACAGCCGAGTAGAGAGGGGAATGGGATAAGAGTACGTACCGTGTAGCGACGTACTCGGTCATGAAGGTGCTCGTGTCGTCGACGTCGGGCGGGGGGCGTGCTGATCGGGCGAGGCCAAAGTCGCACAACTAGCGTCGACGTCACGTCAATGATGAACGGAGCACTTGCACGGAGGGGCAACAACTGACCTTCAAGTCACAGTTCGAGTTAAGGAGGAGGTTGGAGGGCTTGAGATCGCGATGGAGGACATCCGCGGAATGGAGTGCCTTGAGCGCCCTCAGCGTCTGCGCCCATTCTCTGTGAGCACAAGAGCGCACAGGTCGAAGCCGAAGCCTTTGGAGACTCACCGCACCTGGTAGATGAAGTACTGGCAGTGGTCATCGCTGAGCGGCTGGGTCCTAATGACGCGATGCATATCTGTCTCCATGAGTTCCTGGACGAGATAGACCTCCTTGAAGTCGTGAAGGGATGGGGGTCGGAGGATGTCGAGGATGGAGATGATGTTCTCGTGGCGGAAGTGGCGGAGGAGCTTGATCTCCCTCAACGTGCGTAGGCAGAACATGGAGTGGTCAAAGGGCGAGATACGCTTGATAGCCACTCGCCGCTGGGTGGGGATGTGCACCGCTGAGCTATAGTAGAGCGGAGAGGGGGTATCAGCACTGCGATGAACGGGATCGGTGTGTACTAACCATACGATCCCATAGGCGCCCTCGCCGATGACATCGAGGGGCCTGTAGTCTGTGCCGGTTATGAAATTCTCGAGGCGCTCGTCGGGCAGCGTCTCTGTGTCCATCGTCGTCGATAATCGTAGCTGCAGTCAGAGTACAAAGGGAATCACAAAACTCGCTCGGCAAACCCCGCGCGGATCCCTTATATATAAATAGCCGGGCTCCTCTCCTCACACCGACCACAATGGCGGACAAAGGCCTCCTCTTCGTCTTCGCAGAATGCGGTCCAGACGTGAAGGAAGACGAGTTCAACGGTACGTCGCCTCTGTTTTCCTAATTGCACATAGCTCTAACCATTCGCAGACTGGTACGATAACGAGCACGCCCCGCTCCGTCTCACCGTCCCAGGCATATCCAATGCCGTCCGCTACAAGGCCGCAGACGACAAAGCGCCTTCCTGGGTCGCAATGTATGACACACTCTACCCATCTATCATGGACGGCGCTGCGTACAAAGCCCTCGCGAGTACCGCGTCCGACCGCGAACGCGCACTTATCCCACGCCTCGCCATGCTCAACCGCCGCGTCTACCTCCACATCTCCACCCAAGTCAGCTTTTCCTCCATAATGAATACCACTCCGGCGAAATATCTCGGAGTAGTCACTCTCTCTGTCCCACCCGATCTGTGCGAAGAATTCGACGAGTGGTACGAGAGGGAGTACGTCCCGACTCTGACCACAACGCCGGGCTGGTTGCGCTCGAGGTGTTACAGGTTCGTCTCGGGCGTCGAACTTGGAAAGCCGCAGAAAGAAAGCACCGCGAAGCACAATTATCTCGCTCTACACGACTGGTCGCGCGATGATCACCCGCTATTAACGAGTTCGTGGCGGCCCGAGGTGGAACGGAGCGCACGGCGCTTCGTGCTTCACAAGAATATCGAGAGGCCCTCGTAGCCAAGTGCGCATTACAAGTAAATCTCAAGTACATAAGCCAGCTATACTATTATAGCTACATTCTTCCATCATTGTACAAAAAATCCAAGAACAGTCATTAATCATTGCGCAGCGCATACCATGTAAGTCCTTAAGCGCTCATCGCCATCGCCATCCTCTCCTCCACCTGTGCCCTTGTCGGGATACTCTCAATCGTGCCCGACTTTTCCACACACATCCCCGCTGCCTGTACGCACACCTTTAGCAGCCTAACCACATCCGCTTCCTTAATCTCCCTCCCTCTCCCTCCCACCCTTCCGTCACTCCCATGCCCCACACCCCTCCCAACCCACGCCCCCTCCCCAAACTCCATCAACCCCGCCACAAAATAACCCGCAAACGTATCTCCCGCGCCCGTCGTATCTTTTGGCACACCCCCAATCAGCCGCGCAGCGGGCAGGTGCATGAACGACGGCGCCTCCACTGGCGTACGGGGGCGGTGGAACGCGGGGACGAACGCGAGGACGCCGTCCGCGCCCAGGGTGCACACGATGTTCACGTTGGCGAAAGCAGGGAGGGCGGAGAGGCGTGCGATGAGTTCGCGGTTGGATAGCGTCTGGGTCGGGCTGCCCATACTATTTCCCGTTCCACTCCCCCCTACCCCACCACCACCTCCAGGATTAATCCGTGGGCTTGAGCTTGCTCTGGCACTCCCCTCCTTCCCTCCTCTATTCGTCAACGCCCCATACAACCCCCTCGCCTCCCTCTCATTCACCAGCAGCCAATCCACGCGATGCCACATGAACGCCCTGATCTCCTCCTCGCTCGGCAGCGGTGAGGGGTTGAGTACGACCGTTGTTCCTTCGCGCGCGTGCTGCAGGGCGTAGTATGTCGACGCGCGTGAGATCTCGTTTTGTAGGAGGAGGTGCGTGGCAGGAGGAAACCAGCCGGTGGGAGGAGAGGAGTGGGAGGTCAGGGGGGAGCGGGAGGCGGAGGCGGGATGGACGTGGGGAGGTGGTGGAGAAGAGGAGGGCGAGGCGTGCCGCGAGAAGAGCGTCTCATGCAGCTCGCTGTGGTTCGCACCTGGGAAAAGGACTGAAAATACGGTCCGAGTAAGTATGCGTCAGTAAAATAAAACCAGAAAGAGAAGAAATTAGAACTCACTGATACTATTCTCCCCCTCCTCGTCGACCTGTATGATCGCACGGCCCGTAGGTTCCTATCGATATCGCAAGAAAATCAAAGGACGTGGTAATTGTCAGCAGAAGCATGAAATAGACAGTTTGAACGCATGGAAAGAACGCCACAGAGAAGTGAGAAGCCCGGCAGTCAGAAGGCGTCAAGAACAACTATGCAGCGCAGCGCAGTCTACATTTCGCACCAGTCATACATCGCAGCAGCCCGCGCGGCTCGAAATAAAACAAGCACCGAGTCAAATCCCCGTGTGGCAGTCTGGGGTCAGCACCCGTGCTCCGGGACTCGAGGCTCGAGGTCAAATTAATATGAGAAAGATAACGTCAACAGGACCCTTGCATGACCACCAAGAGCAAGATCCAGCCCCAGAGTCTCAAGACTCCAGCAGGCGAAGAGAAGAAGGAAGACAAGAGAAGAAATGAAGGAAGGAAGGAAGAAGCGGCACGATCGCCCATTGGCGGCGCAGCGATGCCGATAGAATGCGAGTAATTCTTGTGTTGATGAAAAGATAAGTACCGAAGGTGAAATGAAGATGAAAGATGAAATGAATGAATGAACGTTCGAACATCCTCGAGCCGGACGCCCGAACCGCAGTTGAAGAAATGACGAAAGGGCTTAGGGAAGGATACGAAAAGTCGACTCACATCCCCCACCAAGATCCCCTCGACGCCAATCCCCCACCGCTCCATCCTCTCCTTGATCCAGAGTCCATCCTCGCCAATGGTGCCATAGAAGCGCACTGCGGCGCCCGCGCGTGCGACAGCGACAGCCTGGTTGGCGCCCTTGCCGCCAACGCGGCTCTCGTGGTCGTACGAGGAGATGGTCTCGCCGGGGCGGGCGATGTGGTGTACTGCATGTGAGTTGGAGGAGGAGCACCGGGTGGGGGAGGAGAAAAGAAATGAGTGGGATGGGTAGGGGGAGAGTGAAGAAGGCGCACCGTAGAAGTACTCATCGTGATCTACAACCCCAAGGACATAGCATGGCAAAGTCAGCTAACCGACGAAGAGTGCGTACGAAGAAATGGACGCACTAATCGACCCGCGCACGACACAAGTCGGCCGTCCACCGCTGTTCGCACTCATCCTATCCTGATTCATTTCTCTCTCTGACAGGTGAGGGTGGGCGTTCGCAGCACCGGGCGCTTTCCCCTCGGTCCTCTTATAAACCAGCGAATTGAAATTGACATAACCTTGTTGGTTCGAGGATGATCTCTACCCCCAGCTAGCCGTGGGTCCGAATCCGATCGGCGAGCAGGCGTCGAAGGGCTAAGAAAGGCTAAGAAGGGCAGGCACTACGATCGCCCAGCCGATCATTCAACTACTTACTATCGATCACTTGCTCGATCGTCCCCGCAGCCTAGAAGGGTACCGAAGGAGACAGAACGTGCTGGTATAAGTATCTTACACTTGTTGTAGAAAGCGTACAAGAGAGGCTAGGTATATAGAGTAGGGTACTTGAAGCTCCACTTCAAGATTTTACGGAGAGTGACATCTGTGGATGCGAATTGGACGGAGGGAAGGAGAGAAGCACCGTCAGCACAGGCGCCACACCAGAAATAAGTCGAACAGACGCACCAATGGAAATATAACATCTTTCATGGAACCGGAGCGAAGTTAACCAGAGATCGAGACGACAGTGACAAACACAAGAGAGGTGAGGTGAGAGAGGGATTGTATGAGACACATCGTAGTTTTGTACATTAGCTGTACTGAGATCAAAATAATTTGCTTTTGGGTCTTGCGGATGGAAGAAAAGGAAGAGGGAAAAGAGAGGGAGAGAACCAATATATAGTCTGGTCTGGTCTGGTCTGTATGCGAGTGCAAATGCGTTGCAAGCAGTCATAAAAATATATCGTGGGCATGATGGAATTAGGCAGAGAGAGAGGGAAGAAAGAAAAGGCAGCAAGCGGTCAAGTAAGACAACATCATCTGAAAGCATGGATGTGAAGCAAAAAGTGATCTTTATGAAGCAGGTCAAAAGAGAGAAATAACACAAGGAAGCAGCCCGAAGAAGGAAGGAAGGAGAGAAAAGATAAAGCAACTTTTAACGAGTCGGCCCACGCGAAGCGTCCGGGAGGAACATGGCGAATTAATGCGAGTCGGAGACATCGAGCATCGACATCGATGATCAACAAGATAAGGCAGGAACTGGTCGACCCTAGAATTCCACGTCGACAGCGACACCTCAGCCCATGACCGTCTACTTGTCCATATCGAACAAATCATCATCGTCCCTGCTCACCACCGGGCCACTGAGCGGGCTGAGCGGGCCCGCACCCACACCCGCCTGCTGCCCATACCGGCCCCCACTGACGTTCCTCGACAGCCCAGGCGGTGGACCCGCCGCCGAGATCCCGCCAGGTCCACTACGCGTCGCTGCCGAGTAGGAAAGACGCGAGAACATCGTCTCGAGACCGGCCGTATTGCTCGCGGTGTTCGTTGTCGATCCGAATCCAGGCTGCTGCTGCCCCTGGTGCTGGTGTTGGTGCTGGTGCTGCAGAGGAGGCAGCGGGGGCATCTCTCCATACGGACCCTCGCTAATCCCACCCAAGCTCGAGCCAAACGCCAGCCCTTCCCTCGCAGGCGGCGTCTTCGGCGCGAACGACGCGCTCGCCGGTGGGGACGCGATGTGCGTCAGCGGGGGGAGCGCATGGATCCTCGAATACCCTGCCGCCAAACCCTGCGGCAAGCTCTGACCAGGCGCATGCGCCTGCAACGCCCGCGAACTGGGGGAGATGAGCTGTGGCGCGAGATGGGCGTCGTCACCGCCGCCGGTCGTGAGGCCGGAGGGTATGGGCCGGGCGGTGTGTGGTTGGCCAGCATGCTGCAAGAGCGGGTTGTGCTGATGGAGAGTTTGCGTGAGGTCGAACGGCGATGGCGTCGTTCTATATGTCGTCTGGGTCCCTCCATGCGTGTGCGTGTGCACCGACGAGCTTCCCGGGCTTCCCGGCAGCCCCAAACCCAAAGGCTGCAAGTAGTTACTCGCCAACGAGTTCGGGTTCGCCCCTCCAGGCCCACTAGCTCCGCTATTTCCTGCTCCTCCTGCAGCCCCAGGACCTGTGTTGGAGAACAGTGGATTACTGGTGCCTCGTAGCTGCCTCGCGATGCCTCCAGGACCGACCCCAGGCCCTACCCCCATCTGAGCCTGCTGCTTTGCCTTGTAATGATGGTGCAGTCCCGGCAGGAACGCAGCGCTTGCATTGCTCGGGCTGAGGCTCATCATCCCCATCGAGGACGCCGTGCCTGCGCTGCCCATGCTCATGCTGAGCCCTGCAGCATCAGCAGCAGCGTACGCAGACGAAGAGGGCGTCCCGCGGTGTATGGGCGGGGACGAGGGTAGGCCGGACGCAGTTAGCTGGTTGGTGGTTGCGGTATGGGGGTTTTGCGAGGTGGTGTTGTCGGCCCAAATAGACTTGATGTCGCCCAGGAGCGTCGGGGCGGGTACGGAGCGCGAGTATCTGTGCCCAACCCCTCCTGCTCCTCCTCCGTTTGCACCGTTGCCGTTACCCTCCGCGAGCGCATGCGACAGATGGCTGATGCCCAGTGGCTTCGCCTGGCCCGAGTTGCTCCTCGACATCCGCCTGCTCCTCTCCTCGGGCGTCAATAGATCGTTCAACGAGCTCGGCAAGAAATCCTCCAAGTCTTCGTCCTCCACCGCGACATCCTGCCCTCTCTGGCCCCGCCTCGCGCCTCCAAAGTCCTCATACTCGATGCTAATATCATACTCTCCTCGCCCTCCGGCACCTCCAAGGCCGTTAGACCTCCCCCCCTGACCGCCCGCCATCTGCGCACTCAGCAGCCCACTAACGCTGTACGAGCTCGGGCCGACGTTCATCTTGCCAGGACTGCCCACATCCACGTCGCCCCATCCCTTCCTGCCACCCATCATCGCGAGCCCGCTGCCCAAGCTCGCAGCAATACCCTGGGTCCCGTGGCCATAGCCAGTAGAGTACGAGGACGAGGGGAAGTGCGTCTGCGTGCCGGGGGCAGAAAATGGCGAGCTCGAGAGCAGGCCTCCTCCTGCGGTGGCATTATTGCCCGGGTTTCCGTTAGCTGAAGGAGAAGACCCGATGTTGACCCCGTTGAGATGGGAATGGGCACGAGGGGAGGTGCCGGGGGAGAATGTGGCGCCGTTGACGCCAACGGGGCGAGTAGGGGAGGTAGGTTGGCCCGGGCGGTAGTTTGGTGGGGATCCGATGGGGCCGAAGTCGGTCGTCGTTGCGTTGGTGCTCGAGACTGCAGGACGAGGTGCAGAGGGTGGTAGAGGGTCCTTCGTCTCCTTGTCTTTCGTCTCCTCCTTCTCCTTCCCATCAGCCTCCTTCGCCTCCTTCTGGCTGGCAAGATGTATATCGTCCAACTCGTCGAGAGTTGCAAACGACGCAAAGTCGGTATCTTTCAGTGGGGGTGCGGGGGCGGAGGGAGAGATCGTTGCCTTGAGCATTTGTGGACGGCTCGTCGTTGGAGCCCCAATAATCCTCGTTGGGGCCGTCGAACCACCCGCAAGGAGGCGCCCTGCCCCGCCATTCGCCCCGCCCACCTGGTCTCGCTTCCCTCCTCTAGTGACCTTTCCTCCTCTCTCCATGCCAGCGTTCGCCTGCTGCGCAGCAACCTGAGCAGCCTTCTTGTTCTTTCTGTCCATCGCCATGCTCTGGCCGGGGAGGACATGGGCAAGAGCACACTTGTGGCCGAACTTGCAGTTGCCCTTGACGAACCACGTGCAGGTCTCCTTCTGGGCGCCAGGCTCTGCAGCGGTGTGCGAGAACGGACAGGACGAACCCGCCGTGCACCCGCCGACCTTGAAGAACTTGCAAGGGACGTGCGAGAGGTCTTTGCCTGGAACGAGGACAAGAACAGGGGAGGGAAGGCTGAGTCAGAAATTTTCATTTTCGAGGACGGGAGGGGGACACACTCTTGGACGAGGAGGCGGGCTTGTGCTTGGAGCCGCCCTTGTCTGTGCGGTCTGCTCTGTCGATGTCTCCCATTCTGTCGTGGTCTCTCTGGATATCACGATCTGATTCGTGGTGGTAGGCCGCGTCAGCGGGCATGAAGTGCAATAGTGGGGGTATATGTAGCCTCTAGATCGTAAATTTAGTAGATAGCGGGTGTTTATGGAGAGGTAGGGGACGGCGATGATGGTTGGAGGGACAGACAGAGACCTGGCAGAGAGAGAGACTGTGCCAAGAAAAGTCTTTTCCGCAAAACTGCCTATCCACACGTGTGATTAGGTAAGCAGCCACCACTCGATCCGCAACACAAAATCCCCTCCTCACCAGAATCCGCGATGGCGACTTGCAACGCGTCCGCTGAGACATATCGGAGAAACAGCTCTGGAGATATCGGGACTCGGCCTGGCAGGTGAGTATTTGGAAGCATATGACACAGCAAAGTCTGTAATATACCGACTAAACTAAATTCGTTAGGCCATCGAAGTCGACGTCCATTTCAACCCACATGAAGAGGCAATCTATTCATAGGACCCGATAGACACCTTCATCATGTGCAATAGCCTTTACACGACTTGATGTTACCTTGCTCTGCCTCAGCAGGCGATGTAAATCCGGCACTCGGAGAGAACATCATCCTTCCTTCCCAGCTGTTCAGCGACGCGACACGGCTCTACCTCTGGCCCATCTTCTTTCCAGACTGGCAGGAAAAGATAAGATGGTGCGGCAAATCTGATAAGACCGGTTGTTATCAGATAACTTCCCCTAGGTTCTATAAATATCGGCACATTCTACAGATCCTCCCTTCCTCTCGGGCTCCTGGCCATCTTCAATCCACGTAGAGCTGTCAATTCGTCAACGGCAGGCCCACCTAGGGCACATGCTTCTCCTTCTCCGGGTAAATTTCCCAGCTCTAGAACGGCCAGCCTCAAAACCCGCCCCACTTCCGGAGATGCGAGAAATCCAATCTCGAAGAACCCCTCAGCTGGTCCTCTTGGAGACGCAGGCTCAGCGATGGACGCCTCTCTTGCGAGTAACTTGGTGCATAGAGCAGCCACCGCCGCCCCGGCCAACGTCGACAAAGTTCTTCGCGTCGCACGCTCTTGGGCCTACCCAAAGCAGGTCCTCTACCTCCTCGCTTCTTTCATCTCCCTCGTCGTCCTATGCAACCGCCTCTCCTTTGCTTACCAGTACCTCACCCGCAAACGTACCTACCGCCAATGCAAGCCAACGGACTGGTGTCTCCCTTCTTCGGCTCCCTCTGGCACTTGTCGACTCGGTTCAGGCGCTTGCCTTCAGGTGGACAATACCGATCGGCAGGTGGTACACGCTCAACCTCACCGAGGTGGGTCTTACGGCTGCGTATGTCGGCATACTGCTCTCGTGGACCTTCGTCAACAGTTCGTCGCGTTTCCTTTTCTTTCTAGAGCGGGCACTGTTGGTCTTACCGAGGTGTTTCCTGGGATTAGCCACCAGCGCAACCGGCATCCCCGTCGAGGTGCATTATTATAGCAACCGCGCTGGGACGATCGCCGCCTCCCAGCTGCCGCTCATGGCCGCCCTTGGGATGAGAAACAATCTCATTTCGTGTCAGTGAATGCACATCGTTGACCGCTTATATTCACTGACCAACCTACCCACGCTCTAGGGTTTACGGGCATCGGTTTTGACAAGGTAAACCGCGACTTGATCCTTTGATCCTCTAACTCTATCATTCTCCAACTAAATCCCCGCCGCAGTTGAACTTCCTCCACCGGATGGCCGCCCGGTCTCTCTGCCTCATACTCTGGATCCACGCTAGTGGACGGGTAAGTCCATAATCCCATCCATTCCGCGCATATATTCACCCAATACCCCCACAGCTTACCCTCGGCCTCCACGATGACGAAGTCATAACGAACGCCTGGATTCGTAGCGGCGTCCTCGCCATCACCTCGCTCACACTTCTCTGCTTCTTGACCCTCCGCCCCATCCGCGAGCGCAGCTATCAGGTGTTCCTGGGTGTGCATTTCGTGCTTGCCTTGTACGTCCTTCCATCCATTCATTTCTTCTGTGATCAGTTGACTGCCTTCCAGCGTCTGCATAGTCGCCATATTCTTCCACCTCCGAGGAAGACAGTGCGTCCCATCTCGTCACCTCTCCCAACGTCTACCCAAACGTAACGTAACACTTTACCAACCCCAGACTAACTCACTACGGGGCATGGCCCACTATGATTGTCTGGGGGCTCGACCGCTTCCTACGCATCGTGCGCACCATAGCACATAACTTCGGGTACTTCATGCCCACCAAAACTTCATCCAAAAGCTCAGACCTAGACGCATCAGTTGAAGTGCTTTCGCCACACTTCCTCCGCCTAACCTTGCACCGGCCGAGATCGTTCAGGTGGCGGGCAGGGCAGAGTGCCTACCTCTCCTTCCCCTCCGTGTCGACGTTCCCACTCGAGGCGCACCCGTTTACGATCGCGTCTATTCCTGATATGGAGGAAGGTTTGGGCGCGAGTCTGGATAACGAGAAAGGGAAAGACGAGCCTGAGAATAGGGGAAAGAAAGAGAGGGAGCTCGTCTTCTTCGTGCGCGTGCGCCAGGGCTTCACTTCACACTTGCTCGATTCTGTGCAGCCGGACAAAAGGCACAAGGTGTTCGTGAATGGGCCATACAGCTCTCCGCCCGTTCTGGTGGGGTATAATACGGTTATTTTGATCGCTGGTGAGCTCTTGCTCTTCGGAATTCATGAGGGAAGCTGATGAAGTCGTTTTCATCGTGCAGGCGGTTCTGGCATCGCGTTTACCTTGCCGCTCTTCCTTGACCTTCTCTCGTACGTCTCGGATATCTCTACGTCCATGCGCATGTTCTAACGGGCCGACTATCACCAATTTATGTAGCCGAGTCAAACGCAACGACGTCAGCTGCCAACGCGTCGTCTTCCTCTGGGCGATCCGAGACGCAGGTTCGTGCTTACTCTCCTACCTTGCTACCGTACCACCTGTCTAACCTTCCCTCCTTTTCTAATCCCGTACAGAACACATCCAATGGATCGCTTCAACCCTCGCCTCCACTCTCTCCTCCATCCCATCCAATCTCGGCCTGTCCATCTCAATGAAATTCTATGCGACAGGGTCAAGTGCTCTCTCCTCTGATAGCGCGTCCGCGTCCGCGTCCTCCCTTGCCGACGACGACCTAGAGAAGGCCACTCCGAGCACTGAGTCCGGTTCAGCTTCCGCGACTCCCAAGTTGAAGGAAGGAACAGGAATTGGGGCCATCCTCGAGCTGCCGTATGTCCTCCTCGAGCGTGGCCGGCCGGATCTGCGGAAATTTATACGGGATGAGATTGCGGGGTCGGTGGGAAGGGTTTCTGTAAACGGTGGGTGTCTCTCTCCTCTGAAGTTCGACCTGCGGACTCTTATAGTTGGTGCTTTATGACAGTATGTGGCACCTACGCCCTCACAGACTCCGTACGCGAGGCGATCCGTGTCCCGCGCCTGATGGATATCTTGAGAGGAGGGCCGACGGTGACGCTCCACGTCGAATCTTTTGGTGGATGATGGGTGGTACATCTGTGGAAACGAGGACTCGGCGACAAGGTTGAACAGTCGAAAATGCGAGTCATATGGAAGGAAGGCAGATTTACTAGGAAGCCCTTGCAAAGAGGAGAATACCTATTAGGTGATTAGACTACGTTTAAAAGACTACATTTCCTTTCGACTACTCAGTGGAATACGCGCTGAAGCTGAAGCTGTCGCATCGGACTTTTCCGGTGACCGGTCTAGATGGGGTAGCACCGTTACATAAGTAGTGATAGGCGCCTCAGGAGTGTCGTCCTTTTTCCTTCAACTCCATCACCTGGTCTACCACAAAGGTCCGCGTTTTGCTTCTTCTCCAGACGAAATCCCATTGAAGACGAATTATACGCGTCCTGAACGCGATGGCGCCCTCTTACGATGTTATTGAGTTCAGAAAGGCGCTTTCTCAGGCGAAGAAGATCATCGTTCTCTCAGGGGCTGGGCTATCGGCACCCTCAGGTGGGAACGACGCGTCATCTACATGGACTTACTGTCTGAATTGACGCTATATTGTAGGTATTGCTACATATCGCTCTGGGGACAATTCACTCTGGTCGAACCCGTTTAGTCTTCTTCTAATCGGCTCATGGTCTCTCTTCGCTAATTTGGCCTCTTGTCTCCAGAGGATAGTCAAGTATTCGTCTCATGAAACGTTTCCAGTTGACCCCAGTGGGTAATTGCAATTCTATCATCATCGGCGCCTGATGTGAGTTGCTCGTCCTGCTAAGCCTCAACTACTCTAGACTTCCCTCATCTACCTATGATAGTGTCCTGAACGCCAAACCAAACGACGCCCACTTTATAATCGCCTGCCTGTACACCCCATTCGTCGCCTCTCACATCATCTCCTCGGCCACTCCGTATTCAACGTCCTTTCGTCTGACATGATTGGCTAGCTTCAACCTGCAGCCGGGTTCGCCTCTCAAGTCAAGGAACACGGGGGCAAGGACTGCAAGGTCACGATTTTCAACACGGATCGGTCCAATAACGACGAAGAGGCTGATTTTCTATTTCTCGGGAGCTCCGATGTTATCCTACCCGATGCATTCGATGTGAAGGCGGACTTGGTTCCCGAGAGTTGAAACCCGTGTTCTAACATGGCAAACGGCGACGAATTCAAGCCCGATGTCTCGTTCGAAGGGTGAATCTTTCATTCAAGAGGTATATTTGAAGTTTCACAGTTCTTGGGTATCCAGAAATCCGACTCGTCTCCCAATGTCAAATCGAATGACCTTGAGGCCTTGCTTCGGTCACTTCTTGCTTCCTGGGAAGTCCTTTCCCGTCGCCATCTTGAACAATGACTTCACGCCACTCGCGATCTGCGAATCCTTCGCCTGCTCGGCAGCCGACTCGTTCTTCTGCGAGCCCTGCTTGAGGACGTGCTCCTGGACGAAGTCGATGGCTGTGATCGATCGAAAGTGTGTAAGCGCGTAGAATAGCTTATCGACGTAATGAGATCGTCAAACCTTTGTCAAGAGGCTCTGCAGACAACATGAGCAACTCGATAGTAAAAAAAAACACGAGAGACGCGACATACCAGACTTCTGCTTGTTAGGGTCCGAGCTGGAGCTAGATGAGTCTGTCTTGCCTCCAGAGAGGTGACTAGCTGCGGCCTTCTTGAGGAAATCCATGTTCGTTAACGAGTCGTTGGGAGGCGGAGGGGCGGAAAGCTGGTTGGGAAAGAACTCGAGAACCCTGCTCCCTTAAATACCCACTGCTTTCAGGACCACCCAACTATCGCCCAGGCACCCGCTGACCTTCCTTCAAAGTGCACCGCCTTTCGAATGCTTGGCACGATCGCCGGCCAGCGGAAGCATTTAGTGAGAGAGCGAACACGCCCTAAGGACAGCCATAAACAGATCTTCTGACTGCGCAGAATTTGCGATAAGCAGACGTGGCGGGAATATTTGGAAGCCAGGGATGTACGCCAAACGAGGCTGTTCATTGCACGCAGTCCGCGAACCCTTCGCATACTTACAAGAATGTCCGTGGACGGCAAAGCATGTTATATGATCATAGAAGTTAAACTTCTATGATCATATAACATATGTCGGAAAAACGCGATTTCCATTATAAGGCCTTGCGGCTCCTGGCACTCCTGGCCCCGCTGATACGCTGGCGTGGGGATGCTGATAATCTATGATAGACGCCTGTAAGCGGAGCGTCAGAAATCCGTAACCTCTGGTAAGTCCTTATCACATCTGATCATTTCACCTCGAAAGGCCCTAGTTTTCGAAGAAGGCATTCAAAAGAAGATACCTCTCACCCTCTCGAAACACTGAATCATCTTCAAAGTGTTTTCATTTCGACTAAGGCGAGTGTCCATTTATTCAGCTCGTGAGCGGACTTGAAGTTCTGAGCATATCCTAGGGCATGAGAGCTTCCCAAAAGTCTGAACCTCCGTGGCCGTGGACCATAGACCTGGACGAAGGGGAAAGTCTCGTCAGCATACTTACACATCTCGGAGTCGAATTAGGATCCAGAATTAGTGCCTCGAAGCGCCCACATCCCTCCGGCAGTCGGTTAAGCTTGTGAATTCCGAGTCGGAGATTAGTCTCGGGGCGATATCTAGGCGCCGAGGTCCAGGTGTGAAAGGGATATAAAAACGGGCTTTCGTCGTCTCATTCCAGCGCAGTTCCTTCTGGCTGACCGAGTTCGAGATTGGATGAACGTCGGCGCTACCTGCCTTCTGTCTGACGGTGCGTCCTACCCCATTCATGTATCCCCTGCTGACCTAGCTGGACTTCACTCAGCAGGGTGTCTTATACTCGGTGCGCACCTTGTACGTCTCTGTATTTCAACACTGACTAGCACAACTAGGAACTCTTCTTTTCTCTAAGGCATCAGCTGTGAGAAACAGGTAACATGCGGGGCCAGGGGCACTGACTCTGCGAACGTCGTGCGTCCGTCTTTACATGCGCTAGAAAGCTGCAGCTGACTTTGACGGAAAGGGTGGCTGGCTCACCTCTCTACACGAATGGTAACTGGTAAGGTTCTGTTAGCGCAATGAATTTGAGCTAACTTCATTCAAGACTGCTGTACCGCGATCGGCTGTTCCCTCGAGCTCGAAATGTCGGCTTCTTTTGTTTGTGCAACGGAAATGTAAAGTCCGAAGGCGGGGCATGTAATTCTCCTAGAGTAGAAAATGAAAATCATTTTTAATTCCCTTATTTTGGATAGGACAAGCTTCAGGGTCCCCGAATATGATTTTTGTGGCCAGTATTTGTAGGTTTTTCTGAAGACACCTATTTGCCATTATAACACCGGAGAAGGCCTGAACAGCCATGCAGACAAGATCAGGCCTAAGTAGGGTGTCAGAACTATAAGTTCGATAATGCTTGCACACATGGATGGGTGACTTTTCACCGTTGATATGATTCCCGATTATCTGACGTCCTAACAGGTCCTTATATTTCCGTATATGATCATATATGGGAAATTCGATTTTTCCGACATTGCATGAAATTCGGCATGATGGCATAAAACTACAACAGCACAACAACTTTGAAAGAGGAGAGGTAAGGAAGAGAATGACAGTCAGCAAATGACAAGACTGACCAGCGGATACACGTCGTAAAACAGTTTCAATGATGTCCATAAATCACTCCTGGCAGATATTTTTAGAAGCATTCCTTCACGAAAGCCAACACACTCACAATAATCATCCTCGGTCGCAGAGGCTCGACTGTCTTGATCTCCCACATCCCCCTCCGACTCCTCGCCAAACCGACGAAGCCCACCTCGCGTCCCAAGAAGTCGACTCTCCTCACTCCACCTGCGATCTCCTTCGCGTCACCACGGCACCTCTGCTGGAAGGCGACACTGAGCATCTCCCTGTCTGCCGAGGAAAGCGCGTTCGTGTAGTACTCATGCTGGCCGATGGGGCGCCTCAAGGACTGGTACATCCCAGAAAGGACGTCTTGGACGGTGATACCATTGAGAGTGCTTGCTTCGATCTTGACATACCATGGGAGCTTGCGGTGCCAGAGAATCATTCGGAATGTTGGAGGTGAGGTAGCGAGCTGGAAGAGGTCGAGAGGGTTCGGTGGACGGTTAAGGGCCGGAAATTGGAGGCCGTATTCTGGGAAGGGCTGGAATCGAAGATTGTAGCTGACTTGAACTGGATTGTGGGGACGATATACCAGGAGAGGATTGAGGCGGTAAGGTAAACGAGGCGAAGATGGATGGCCTAGAAGAATGGTCAGTTATTTTCGAGAAAGAAAGAGAGGCGATGTACGAATCAAGGAGCCTATCTTGCTGATATACCGACGCAAGCCTCCACGGGACGGAGGGACATAACCACGCCTCCAATTTCCAGGCTTGCGTTGGAGATGGACAGGACTTGGGCCAGATTGGTACGGGACGCGAGGATATGAAGAAGAAACAACGCGTTGTGGGTAAAATGACGCAGGAAGCGGCTTGCGAGACATTGTCGCGTGGCGTGTACTAGCTCTGTAGCGCCTTCGAGATGCACTTCCATAGTCGCCGCGAACGCGAATAGAAGCTGATGGTGCTCTGGCGCGTCGAATGGTTGTCGACCTGGCGGCCCTCTGTGACGAAACATGGAAGGAAAAGGGGGCATCCAGCGTCTCTGGGAAGGCGATGTGTGTCAGGAAGCGGGTATCCTGCATTAGAACCTGCAACCACGGGGGATATGGGCTGGTAATTCTCGTTCAGGGATCCAGAACTGCGGAATCTTGGGTCTTGGACGTACTCTGCAGGCCAGCTGAAGAAACGGTACGCGATGAGCAACAAACCCAAGAGCCTCGTGAAGCAGCTTACCTGGTAGACGCGTGAATGTAGGGTTGGTTGGTCGGAACGTCTTGAAGTTGGCTATAAGACATCGGGGTCGAGGGAAGAGTGTGGGCTGGCGGTCGGGATTGAAATGAGAGACAGTGCCATGGCAGCTTGGAAAGGAGACAGGGAGCACAAAGGAGCCATCATGGAGGACGCTATCCAAGAGGAACAAATCAGGCAGCACGTCGCGCTCTACCATGAACCCTAACCCCGCCACGCTTCCATGAGACCTAATAAAAGTAACGTAGTCCCCAAGTCATTCGTCGTTTCTATATCACATTTTGGTCACTACAAAAGCTCGAAGCTCAAAATTGATCCATTCCCTGAGGAATATCGCCTTGCAAGCGTGGAACCTGCCTCAGCGCCTCCAAGAGGGCTCGATCGTCTTCCGTCATAGACGCCTCCAAGTCGGCATCGAGCATGCCCGCGCCGGCCGAAGGGAAAGTGCGCAGCTCTTGTTTGCAGAACGTCCCATTCGCCGGTGTCTCTCCTGCGAAGTACGCCCTCTTGAGCTTGGCGACGCAGAGGGTTGGAAGACCGGTTGAACAATGCTAAAGAGCAGGCGAGTAGTTCGTGAGTTGGGTGGAGGAAGTAAGATAAGAACCGCTACGTACTCCTGGTCCTTCTTGAATAACGAGCGACGTCGAGTTACCCATGAGTGAGTTGACGAGTACCGCGCTCCGGAGCGGCGTTACCCTTTAAAATCAGAGTTAGATAAGTGAAGCCCGAGGAAGAAACACTAGATATAACGTACGGATCCGACTGTAAAGGAATTTTCAGTATCTCGATGGAGTACAGACGGCGTGTGAGAACTGCACCTTAGCACTGACAACCAACATCGGCCTCTCTAATTTCGCATTCCACGGACCTGCGAACCTCTCCGGAGCCCTGACAGGCCAATACTGGCACTCTCCGTCCTTCTCCACCACACTCACACTGACCCCAAAGTGCCTCGACACCCCCTTCAGCGTCCTGATCCCGTGGTCCGCCAGGTCCTCAGGTGATGGGAAGTCCTCTTGGGAGCCAGGCACGGGCGGGCGGGCATCAGCACACGAGACGGCCGAACGCTGGAGGTCGGTGATGGGCAGGATCCCAGTTGTCTGGGCAGCATAGTCGGGCATGAGGAAGTCATAGAGGGAGGTGCCGTTGCCTTGCATGGCGGCGTGTAGGTTTGAGGCGGCGAGCGGCCAGACCATGGGTCGCATGAGGTAGTAGAGGATTAGGCCTACCGAGTGTTAGTTGCGAGGCTGAATGGTGAGAACCAAAAGAGGGCATACCTCGCACAGAACCTGAGGTGAGGACGCCAGGACGTCGAGCATGTGGCACGGGAAGCGGGTTCACAGAGAGATCGTCGAGGAAAGCCTCGATTCGCTCTTCGATGTCCGCCGTTGGTTCATTCTCGTGCTGTGCCAAAGGACATAAAGATGGTCCGGCCTAGGATGACAGGCAAGTCAATACCAACGGCTCTAAGTTGAAAGAATGACATCACTTCGGAGCAATCCTTCAGGAATATTTCGTACGTCTCTTCCGATGATGCCAACCAGTTAGAAGCCCATTTGTATACTGGATCAGCTATTCGAACATCAAGTAAGTCTAAAGTCATGGAGACAGAAGGGGTGATTTCAACATACTTGACCAGCTAATAGGATCGACAATGCCATCGATGACGACGTAACCAACACGGTCCGGGAGCCTGGAGGCATCACAACTGCGGTTAGTTGTTCGGAATCGAAGAAACAACCAGGCGACGTACATGTTCACGAGCCAAGTCCCAAGGACAGAACCATACGAACCCCCATGGAAGTTTCTGGAGCATAATCAGATTTAGATTGCAGGACTATGTGTCCTCGACATTCGTTAACTTACATTTTCGCATCCTCGCCGTCAAACGCCGTTGCCATGAAGTCCATGTCGCGAACGACGTTTGCAGTCCCCATGTACCGCAGCTCGTCGCCCATCGTCTTCGCACATAGCTCAATTTGACCCTTCTGAAGCGCCAAGTATTGTCGATATTGTTCAACAAGGCTCTCGCGGAAGAAAGGCGACGAAATGTTGGCGAGAGGCGGGACATTGATACCTTGTTCGATGACGGTGTTTGTAACATAGAGTTGGTGGGTGAGGAAGTCGGGGAAACAGCTGACAGTTGGCCTAGCGCGTGTCGAATTATGAGCAACGGAGAAGAGAGTCGAGTACGTACTTGGTTCTTCCAATTCCACGAGGGTCGAATCCTACCAAATCCCAGTCATCTCCAATAAATTGCGCGTACGCAGGCCCAGCAAGTCGTAGACCAGATCCTCCTGGCCCACCTATGCTCTATTCGTCAATTCTCCTCCTCAAAGTTGAATTGGAATCGACAGACCAGGATTGAGGAAAACGGTGCCCTTCTTTGGTCCTTTGCTAGCTCGATACACCGAGAAAGCAACCGATGCAATTCCTCCATCTGCCTGGTTGAAGTAGTCCTTCGGTACACTAAGAGAACCCATTTAGTCAGCGAAAGGAAACATTGGACCCCTGCGACACCGACTTACATGATGGCCCCGCATCGAGCCTTTGGGTCCACGCCCGTCGGACATTTCTCCCAAGTAACACTGCCCAACTGAGGCGTATAACTAGACAGAAACCGCGCCTTAAGCCGCTCCAAGTTCGCGCCGTAGTTCCAGATTGAGACAACGGAAAGGCCCAGCGCAAGAATGATGGTGAAAACGTCCCTCCAAGGCTGGTATCTCTGACGGATGGGCGTATGCCGGGTGTCTGTGTGGGCGGGCTTGGACAGGTGATCGCCCTTCATCGATGTTGGGGTTTGAAGAAAGGAGTAAAGTAGAGTGGGAATTGTTGATGAGCGAGAAGAGTGCACATGCTATATAGTTGAGCTATCATTAGACTGGCGGCGCTTTTGGTGGTCGAGGTTGTGGTAGAAAGGCCGTGGGAACCCAGCATCATTACGCTGTCGTTGGTGCACTGGTAATGTCCTCTTCCGATGTTCCACTGCTCGTCAACTCAGTGGATTTCGCACTCCTTTCGTCATGATTGTTCTCCTTTCGGCTTCAACGGTATGTGCTACTCTACGAACTATCACTGTTCTATAAATCGGCAACGCTCGGCGCTCTCGCTCTGGAGTACGCAGCCGGGTTTCGTGATTTCCTGGTTCTCCTACGCCGAAAGCCAGAAGTAAGGACCTTTTTTCACGTTTACAATTCGAGTACCTACCAATATTTCACTTCACCGGATGCCCATGCAAGCCAATAAAGGGATCTGGTCGGGGGAGATCCTCGATTCTCTTCGTCTCGCAGGAGGCAAGGAGCTTCGCGGCTTTCGCTGCATGTATCGCGTTCATGATAGAGAGCGCCGTGGCGACAAGCACCAGAAGCGCCACGGCGATTGTCGACCATCGTCCTCGGAATATGTGGCCAGCGGGATTGTCGTGGCCATCTCTTTCTTTGCACCTGCACTGGTGGCAGACGGTCGACGGTTCTCCAAGCAGTCCGTCCGTAGAGGACTCGCCTTCTAGTTCTTGTTCTTGTTTGAGGACCGTGTACGGGGTGGACATTTGTGACGCCCTCAATTTGTGCTAGTATTTCTGGGACTCCAATCTGCTGATCTGCTCTTCTTATGGCCTACCTCGCTGCGTGGCATCAAGCTTGTGCGTTGCTATCAAATGCGACACATTTATCTCATCCGGATCTCCAGGAATAGATGGCAGGTGCATGTAGAAGCTATGAGCGCTGGACACTGTAACGCACGGCGTACTCATCTTCGAGCGGGCTTCCTTGCTTACTCCCTCCGATGTTTCTGCGCTCTGCTACTTGGCGCCGGAGACGACACTTCTGTGCGTTATTCGGTTTCGTCCGCTGAAATAAGAGGCAACTGAATTTTTAACTCGTCGCCGCAGCTGAAATGATAGCCATGAATCCCTCTCATGTGATGGTATCACCCAAAGACACTTTCTATCATTTCGAAGAGAACCATGTTCCTAAAATAGGACCTAGCTCGCGGGTTACTCGTAGACCCTGACAGACCAGCTATCTTTGGCTTGATATGGGTGAGTGCGGCGACATGAGAAATTTATTCTCTATCTAACCTCTTCGCCATTTGAGACGATAGGTCTAGTCATGCCATCCGCATCCGCATCTTCCAACAGCTTACGCCAATCAGTGCATCGGTGATAAATCCCAATTCCTGTCACATTTCCCGCACGGTAGCTCCCATCAGGCTGCAAGATAGGCTTAGAGTCTTCAAGTGTCGAGTCTGCCGCGCACAGGTACGACTGTCGAAGCAGTCCAAAGCACCCATCAGCCCTTCCAAAATCAATTTGATGTTCGTACGGTGCGTCAGGATCGAGGTGCCAGAGGTGGGCCACCGTACGTCGGATGGTGTTGAGACAGTCGACATGCTGGTACACTGCGACTCTTCTGGCAAGTTTGTGTGGGCTACCAAGAACAACGCCACCGTTGGTAGGAACCAACGCGCTCCAGGCAGCATCCGTCGTGATGTTGAAGTGTATGTTGTCAAAGGCATATGTAGAGGCCACGGTAGGATATCTGAAGGGCCATTCGGGAAACTTGGAATTCCCTGAGTCGACAGTGGTGAGTCTTACACATCCTCTCACGGAGAAAATGCACTCGCTGACCCACCCCGGTAGGATAACTTGCCCGGCCAAAGCGAAATCGCTGTGAATAGCTCAATGGCGGTGATCGACGCCAGGGATAACAGAACGAAGGACCGAAAATGCCTGGCAAATTTGCCTTGCTGGCGTTCCATCTGCAAATTTAGATCATAACGTCATGAGTAAAGTACAATGTTTAAAAGTGGAGGCGACTAACACTTTGCTTCCTGAATTTCCTTTGCTTTGCGCAGGCTCTGTGCGATGCAATTGCTCCGCGAAGACTAGTTCAAATCTGGGGGATTCAAAAGCCTGACCCCTGCATTAAACTTGAGAACCTGTCTTACAGCGTGATAGGGTATCACGGCGTGCGCACCTTTAGAAACTTCGGTCTAACTTCGTGGTCTCGCTGTCCAGGAGGTAAGGATGGCTCTCTGGATTCTAGTTACCGTCAACTCTGGCAAGCATTCTGAATTTATTTCCTTTTCCCCCTGGAATAGCCTTTTCTCCTTTCATACAACACCGCTTATAACGCGGACAACTCGGACAACGCTTCTCCCGCATTTTCTCAAGGCAAGTCGGATTTCTGGGATACATGTGCACAGATAGCGGTATGTGGGCGCTCCTTCTGGACCCCATCAAGCCGCAATGCAGCCGATGAGTCGGCGTATAGGCTACGACTCCTCGTGAGAGTGACATCTTGATAGAAATTCCTAATCTTAGCCACGTCTCGCACAGCTTTCTATAAAAATATTCGGAACTCTGTGAGAGTCACCCTTCTCTCGTCTTACGACTCGCGCTCCGATGAGCACAAAGGATCTTGACCCCAGCTGGACGCCCGATCTTGGTGAAGACGCCCTCTTCAACGAGCGCACCTGGTTCGCAGGGCTTTTCGTCCTTGCTGTGGCCTACGGTATTGCGGTTACATTGGGCATACTTTGCCTCGGCCACCTACATAGGACTGTCACGCCCGATAACCGGAGAATGAAGTCGTTCTGGATGGGCGTCGTCAGCGCACTAATCATCTGCGCGACCGTATACGCCGCCGCCGGGGAGAAGATCAACGAGATGAGCTTCATCACGTATCGTAACTATCCTGGGGGCCCATGTAAGCCCTTAGAATTCTCCCCCTCATGCATTCTAGGGGCTGACACAATATTGATAGCTGCTTTCGAGCCCGCATTCTTCTCCCTGCCGGTAAACGCTGCGGGGAATGTCTTCTTCATTCTTGCGAACTGGATTTGTGATGCAATTCTGGTCAGTCATTCTAATATTGCACGCCTGTACTTCGTTTCATGCTATCCGACGGTAGGTTTGGCGCTGCCTCATCATTTATCGTCAGTCTCGTATTCCATTGTGGATAATGATGATCATCCCATGTTCGGGCTATCTGGGGTCTATCGGTACGTGGATCTTACTCATCCCGAGGTACGCGATGTGTTCTGATTGTTGATCATTCTCCTAGCTTTGGGAATATGTTGGGCGATCCAAGTTTGTAATCCGGAGACTTCGCCGTGGGTGTCAAAGGGAGTGAATTTCACAGTGCCCTACCTTTCGTTATCGTTGGCCCTCAACATCTTTATGTCAACCGCTCTCAGCCTACGACTGCTGGTCTACCGCTGGAGGATGAAGAAACTGCCGAGCATTGCAGGTGGTATAAATTATCTCGGGCTCGTGGCGATGATAGTTGAGTCTGCGGTCGTCTACTCAATATTCTCCTTGTGTTCTATCGTCACTTTCCTTCTCAACCACCCGGTTCAAAACGTCTTCAATCAGCTATTTGCCGAGGCTCAGGTGAAATCCTGCCGTGCTGTTTTTCTCTGCACTCTGGATCTGACCTTACCCATGACCTTCTACAGATTGTTGCTACCCTCATGATTCTCTACAGAGTGGCATCAGGGACGGCATGGACGTCCGATACTGCACATACTCTCTTTAGCGGCGTTCATCTCACGTTCGCTCATACCACGAGTGACACTACCAAGGGCACGTCGACGATCAACGTTTACAACAAGGAGGCTGGTACAGAATCAACTCACAGCGAAATTGTTATTCAACCACCTGCATAAGTCCTTATTCTTTCTAATTTCTTATACCAACACTGTTGTAGGCCAACCTGTAATATAGTCGACGAACTCTACCGTACATCCTCCCATGCCTCTGGTGTCAACGGCGTATCTCTCCATTTTGCCTGATTGTCTTCAACAAACCTCCGAATCTGTGCCCAATCCCGACACCTATGTGACTCCCCTTCCTCCGTGCTATTTCTGGCGACAAGAGTTAAATCTGCATGGCACAGGATACTGTGCCTCAGGACGTGAAAGCAATGCGTGGTGTGAGCAATCGAGCGTTCGGCGATAGGGTCGGGTTCGAGGTTATACCGAGCGACCATGTACGTGTAGCGCAAGGAGTTGAGACAATGGAGTTGGTGGTACATCGAAATCCCGTATGGGCGGCCTTTAGGTCCAAGGCGAACTTGACCAAGGAACGGTGGGATCATCGTGTTCCACGCATCGTTACTCGTGAGTGGGTAATTTCTATCCTTCCTGTCAAAAAACATGGCGACATCTGGGTAGTGTCCAGGGAGCTCTTTAGGAGTGTCGTCCCCAAAAAACCCTGACCAACCAATAGAATTAAACTCGGAACGTTACAAAACGTTTTAGAACGCACTGTGCACTGGCGACCTTGAGGCCAGAAGTTCGTTGATCGCTCGGGGCAGAACAATTACTGAGTACGACCTGGCACATATGACGACAAAGAGGTTGAGGGCGAGAAACGGCGTAAATATTCTCGATGATAACATTTGTGATTCTGAATCATCTTCCTGCTCGGGCTCTAAAAGGGTAGCTGTTTATATGGTCCACGATATGTCGCCCGCCAAGTGTGATGAGCTACTGAGAGAACCACGTTTTGCGAATCGTCAGATTGTTTTGGGCGTTGGACCACGGTGCTTCTGACCGAATAGATTCATTTCCAGATGACTCTGCGACCAGACATCACAGTCGGAAAACAGCCGATCTCTCAAACGGCTGATGGTAGACCTTTACTTATCGTCATGCAAATAGGACTTGGGAATATCTGGAGGCCATGGAGGAGTTGGAGCTGAAAATAGTCGGAGGCAATCAGCCGCCCATGACCAACTTTCAAGCTTCCATTCCAGAGAAGTACATACTATTCCCCTAATAATTATTTCTCCCTATCTCGGGCCAACATGTCCGCTAGATAACGCACAGCAGTCCAATCGTGGCACCTGTGATATGTGCCAAGCCCCACCCCGTCGATTTTCATCGCAGATGAACCAAAACCAACACTGTGGTTCAGGTAAGTCGGGAAGGTCGGATCCAAGGTGGTATCGCTGGCGCAAAGTATCACTTGACGTAGGTGATGGAGACATTCGTCGGTGCCCTGCCAGAACTCATCGGGGGTCAGGTGCTCAAGCGGGTCGTACACGTGGAGGAAGGAAAGGCGAAGAGTGTTGAGGCATTCCAGA